CCAATCCAAGGTGAAGTTTAGGCCCCAAGAGTTCCTTAGTCCAGATTATAATCCAAATACAAACCAAGTCCTCCCTTTTTCTTGTCTGTTGCCAGAAACTAGAAGCGCAGTGGCGGTCTCTCTTGTCTGCCCCCCCTCCTAACGTCTGATGGAATACTACAGCTGTGTCCCAGGCACCAGGAAGGCTGGGGAATATAGTTTCGAGATCCTGATAGCCAGACAAGGATGTCTGATAGAGATCCCAGCCTCCTTGGTACCTGGGACACTGTTGCAGAAGCATGTCAGCAAGCACCTGAGAGAAGAAAGGTCTCCAGCGATGCCTTCCTGCTGCTGCTGCTGCTGCTGCCGCCACTTTTACCACCATGCCGGTCACGGCTGTGTGTGTTGGAGAGTTCATGGGGAGGTTCTGCCATGGGACCCAATCTGGATTCAGAACAAAATGTATTATATTGCAACTGTATTGTAACTTTTTAATAAACGTGTTGCAGTTTTTAAAAAAGAACAAACTGAATTACTTTCTGCTTAGTTTGTGGGTGTGGAAAGCAGTTCACTCTTCCAGGCCCAATTTGAAACCAGAAGTGTCTGGTTATGTTTAGTGCAGTCTTCCACAACCTGTTACTCTCCTGTGTTTGGGGCTACAACTTCCATCAACCCCTCCCCACTGCACTGGGCACCAGGTTGGGGAAGGCAGATTTAGGTCATGACTAGTGTAGCTGATAAAGGGACGTGGGTGGCGCTGTGGGTTAAACCACAGAGCCTAGGACTTGCCCATCAGAAGGTCGGCGGTTCGAATCCCCGCGACGGGGTGAGCTCCCGTTGCTCGGTCCCTGCACCTGCCAACCTAGCAGTTCGAAAGCACCTCAAAGTGCAAGTAGATAAATAGGTACTGCTCCGGCGGGAAAGTAAACGGCGTTTCCGTGCGCTGCTCTGGTTCGCCAGAAGCGGCTTAGTCATGCTGGCTACATGATCCGGAAGCTGTACACTGGCTCCCTCGGCCAATAAAGCGAGATGAGCACCGCAACCCCAGAGTCGGCCACGACTGGACCTAATGGTGAGGGGTCTCTTTACCTTTACTAGTGTAGCTGATACAACTGATCGCTAAATTATTTGTTTTTCCTGAATTTAAAGTTGGACATGCCATTCAAAGTAAAAAATGAAATTCATTTCTAGAATGTGCAGCAGGAAAAATAGTCTGCCGACCTGCAGAAGAGCCATCCCATGTCCTGGACCCATAGAACTATACAGGGTTTAAAGCCAGGTTTCACGTAACAGGCTGAAGCAAGTCAGGTTGTGGGTGGATGGCGAGGCGTTAATGTGGCCAACCCACGTCAGTCTTGCAGCATCTGGTTTCTAGGTTGTGATCTTTCGCCATCCATCTGACATCACTCAGCTAGCTCCATCTTTTCGCTCGGAAGGGATCACAGAAAGATCAGCTGCAAATGCGATCAACACAAAAGAGATTTTTTATTATTAACCTGCTACCCACAGAATTTGTCTAAGATTACAGGCCTTTGTATGTGGCTTTTAGAATAGAATACAGGTTGTCAATCTGAGCCTTATGAAGCCATCTGCTAGGTTAAGCGGGTTCATTCATATACAAACAATTTTGAGTCGATTTAGCCTAATTCCTTGCCCCGGTGCTCCTGCTGTTTTGATGCTCCTGCTATACTTCTGCGTCTGACAGTGTTTTCTTCCATTGTCCCCTCTAGTGCCAAACTGCTCAATTATCCTTTTGTTGTTCTTGTTAATGTTGCACAATTCATTTCCTCCGATGTCCACCCCCAATCTATTTTCCCTCTGAACACATCCGACTAGTGACACTTCCTAAAAGACAAGTCTGCTCTGCGTGCATTCATTTAAAAGCCAGTTTCGTTTAAATTTAGCCTTATCTATCTATATCTATCTATCTATTATCTGTCTATCTATATCTATCTATCTATCATCTCACACGAGCCCTAAGACAGATGTCTTTATATATCCTGTAGCTTATTGATTTAAGCTCAGAGAAAAACACGGCATTTCCACAAACAGCTTGCCTGTGGAAATGCTTTGTGTAACGTTAAGCACAGAGCAGGAGGAACCACTGAAGTTTTCCCATAAATTTGGGCACCAAGGTTCGCCCAAATCTGGGGCCCCCCAGCGTGTGTGTGTAACATGACATGTTGGGAGGATACCTGACGGGACCCACCACAACCATGGAACGGCCCAATGGGGCCTGCCATGGCTGTGGGTAGGCACCGAGAGGCCCGTTGTGGCCAAAGGTAGACCTGATGGGGCCTGCTGCATAATATAAAAGGTAAAGGTAAAGGACCCCTGGACGGTTAAGTCCAGTCAAAGGCGACTATGGGGTTGTGGCACTCATCTCGCTTTCAGGCCGAGGGAGCAGGTGTTTGCCCACAGAGAGTTTTCCAGGTCATGTGGCCAGCAGGACTAAACCGCTTCTGGCACAATGGAACACCATGATGGAAACCAGAGTGCATGGAAATGCTGTTTACCTTCCCGCCACAGTGGTACCTATTTATCTACTTGTACTGGCGTGCTTTCGAACTGCTAGGTTGGCAGGAGCTTGGACAGAGCAACGGGAGCTCACCCTGTTGCAGGGATTTGAACCACCGACCTTCTGATCAGCAAGCCCAAGAGGCTCAGTGGTTTAGACCATAGCACCACCCGCGTCCCATAGTCTGCAGAATATTGAGGGGGTCTTTGTTTATCCTGTATTATTGCCATTTGTTCAAGGTTGATGCCCTTGTTCATAGCTAATGATTTATTGTTAGTTTGTGTTTATGCTTTTCTGATTCATGATCTGTAGTTTCACTTTGAAACCCACCCACCCCCGCTATGTTCATCAAAATACCAATACTTTCTATTGTTCCATTGGTAACAGAAGAGGGGAAATGACTATTCCTCATACTTAATCCAAGCACACGCACAAGGGCTACTGATTGGGTGTTTAGCTATGCATTGTTGAATGTTATCTGCTAACTCTGTCCTAGTCTGCTTCCCCCTTTGTTTTTGTTCAAACCAATTCACAAACAAAGAACCTATACATTGGCCACTAATAAGGTGGTACTTAACCCCAGTCAAGCTAGCAAAAATCTATCATTTGTCAGATAATAAATGTTGGAAATGTAAAGAGACTGAGGGCACATTTTTTCACCTTTGGTGGACATGCCCAAGGATTAAGGCTTTCTGGGAAATGATATATAATGAATTGAAAAAGGTATTCAAATATACTTTCCTGAAGAAACCAGAGGCCTTTCTTCTGGGCATGGTCGGCCAATTGGTGCGAAGAGAGGATAGAACTTTTTTTATGTATGCCACAACAGCAGCAAGAATACTCATCGGAAAGTACTGGAAGACACAAGAATTACCCACGTGAGAAGAATGGCAGATGAAAGTGATGAACTACATGGAACTGGCTGAGATGACTGGCAGAATTCGAGACCAGGGAGAAGGGTCGATGGAAGAAGATTGGAAAAAATTTAAAATATATCTTCAAAAATATTGTAATATAAAAGACTGTTAGAAAGATGTTGGAAAAGAAAATTAGGTCGTTTTGGTAGATATGATATAAAGGATTAAGCAAAAATGAACTGATGAAATTGATGAAACAGAGGATGTTTAACTATATTATTTTAAATTAAAATACGTAAATGAAAATAAGGTTAGAAGGATTTGCTGGAAATACGATCTGAACTAGAATACAAAATTGGGAGGTGAGAGGAGGTCATGGAAATAAGTAAAGGGAAAAGGTTATGTAAAGGTTTAATCTGTTTTTGTTCTATTTTAACCCAATGCATTTTTATATCTTTTGTTCTGTTTTCTTTTATACTCTATTTTATTGTTTACTTTTTTCTTGTTACTTTTTGCTTTGTTATGGTTAAATTTTTCCTTGTATTTTGTATTTTTTTTTCTCTTTTTGTAATTTTAAACTTGGAATAAATATCATTTTTAAAAAAAAATACATTGGCCACTAATAATGCACCATATGTTATAGATATTACTGCAAATTTTAATGCTATTTTTGTGAGAAGGCCTGGTCTTATTTATTTGTCTCATTTATTATTCCAATGATGCTTAATAAATAAAACTCAATAAAAAGTTATCAAAAAAATAAAAAATAGGGTAGGCAGAATTTGTGCTGGTGTTTTGATGCCCGTGGTATCAAGTGGATGCTGCAAAAATCTTGCATGTGTGAGGAACACTCATACTACAATAACCATCCATCTGGAAGCCACTTTGGTCGCAGCAATCTTGGGAGTGCCTAGCTTGGTACAGAAAATAAACTGTGCCCTCTTTAGATGGATATTTATACATGATTCTGCTGTGCCTATTTATTGCTAACAGCTGCAAACTGGGGGTGGGTCACACCCACACTGATTGGAACTTGCATTTATTTGATTGGATTCTGTATTCTTTTGTGTTTGACATAACACAGCAGATACCTGCAGCTATTTCTCTCGTTGCTTGGCATTTTGTTTTTTAAAAAGCAACCCTTTTCTTCTCTCTGTTTTGAGACTGTAGATCAGCCTTCTACACCAACCCGGTGTTTTGGACCACAATCCCCCACAGCCTCAGCCAGCACTGTGTCCGTTGGCCTGTTGGGCATTGTAGACAGAAATGTTTGGGGAACGCCAGGATTATCATCACTTTTATATCCCACCTTTCTTCCAAGGAGCTCAAGACAGTGTACAGTGGTACCTCGGGTTACAGACGCTTCAGGTTACAGACTCCGCTAAGCCAGAAATAGTACCTCGGGTTAAGAACGTTGCTTCAGGATGAGAAGAGAAATCACACGGCGGCAGCGGGAGGCCCCATTAGCTAAAGTGGTACCTCAGGTTAAGAACAGTTTCAGGTTAAGAACGGACCACCAGAACGAATGAAGTTCTTAACCCGAGGTACCACTGTACCTGATTCTCTCTCTCCTCATTTCATTCTCACAACCACCCAGTGAGGTACGTAAGGCTGAGAGATGGCTCAAGGTCACCAAGTGACCTTTATGGCTGAGTGGGGATTTGAACCCCAGTCTCCCAAGTCTTAGTCCAGCACTCTAACCATTACACCACACTGGCATTCTTTAGCAAAGGCTGCCGTGCACCTGACAAAATGGGCTCTGGACCATGAAATACCACGATAAATCTGTTCGTCTTTAAGGCGCCACCGGATTCCTTGTTGCAATTGCTGTACTGTCACTCAAGCCTCACTTTCCCCTTTCCGTCATTTTCATCGCCGCAGCTTATGCTCAGCTAAAGTGCTGTCCTTTACTTTGCACCGCCAGAATGTTCCGGAGGGACTGTATCAAGCTCGATAATAATCAGACACGCAGGCCCCCAGAAAGCTCCTGTGGAAATTCCACTGCATGATTTGCTTGCCAAAAATAGGAAGAGCCCTCCTGTCATGAAAGATACGGTGCAATGCACCCCAGAGCCTTGTCGTGCATTTAATAATATTATAATAAGCAGAACTACAAAGGCCACCCGAAATATAATCGTATCTGTACATTGAAGATTTCCATGTTACAGGACTGGTAACTGATGGGTATTCACAGGATGCAGAGTTTGCTGCGCAGTGTATGCTGTTGGACAGTGCATGTTTTCATTAAAGAATACATCTCACACAGAGTAGATTCCACACAGGTGATTATCTTGATACTGGCTGCAGATCTATTTGCTACGTTACACCCACAGCTTATGCATACTAAGCAGGTGGAGTGATCCAAGCTAAAAGCTGGCTCCTGCTGGCTTGTAGCAAGCCCTTTTGTTTGACAACCGAGCCACTGCTGTACAGTATACGTCCCACTTTCATGCCTCCGAGCCACGGAGCGCGCAATTACTGAGCAACTGCAGTGCTACTTGCTGATACCTTGGACCGCTAGCTGAGTGTAACTATGTCAGACATATAGCATCATTTCTTCTGGATTCCTTCAGGGGTTTTTGCCAACAAAAAGAAAAGGTTTTGAAGTTTTCTCTTTCACCTGCCTGCTTCCAGGAGGCTCATAATAGAGCCCATGCTGTTAACCCATGTTGGAGCTCAAGTTGCAAGCTGTGAGCCAACAGAGATCATAAACGGAAAGAGCCGTGGAGAGCAAGCAGTTTGTTCCCAAGCTGCATATATTAATACTGCTGCATGCCACCCCAATCTCCGAGCGGGGCAAGATTCCAGGGGTCCGAGGTGCTTACTGGGCCTGGGCGATGTATCAATACATTGCCTGAAACCAGTTTAAAGTTAAATGTACAGTCATACCTCGGGTTACAGATGCTCCGGGTTGCATGATTTCGGGTTGCGCACTGTGCCAAACCCAGAAGTACTGGAACGGGTTACTTCCAGGTTTCAACGCTTGCGCATGCGCAGAAGCTCTAAATCACGCTTTGCGCATGCGCAGAAGCGCCAAATTGCAACCTGCGTGTGCGCAGACGCAGCGCTGTGGGTTGCGGATGCTGCAGGTTGTGAACATGCTTCCCGCATGGATCACGTTCACAACCCGAGCATCCACTGTATTGTGAATCCCCGCTCGCCCTGACCGCAACCAGCATTGCACACTTGAATTCTGGAGCCAGGTGCTCGGCCACTCCCTTCTCTCCCCGGCCCAGCTGCTGGCCCCAGGAGTGGGACTTCCCTGCCTGTCTGCCAGCACCTTCATTTATTTTTCTTACTGAGCCAGTGCTGGCAGGCTGCCTCCTACCTCACTTCCTCCTTGTGCCAATCGCAGAGCAGAATGGAGCTGTCTCCGTGCCTCGCTGCTTGCATGGCACTAGTGAGAGACTATCATTTGGGTGGTACGCCCTGTTAAAACTCCGAAGCCTGGGAGCACTTTCTGAAGTCCTTTTGCATGCTGCGAGGACCAGTCTCTTCACCTCTGAACTTCTTCAGTGATGCACAACTTAGCAGAGTAGTGCAGCTTTTCCTAGGCAACGATCGAGACTGCTCCGTCAGGACGACAATCAGGAACAAAGCTGATGACTAGTAACTTGATTTTGTAGTTTATTATATACGGCAGTAAACTCACAAGCTATATGTTGTTGTTGTTTAGTCATGTCTGACTCTTCATGACCCAATGGACCAGAGCACACTAGGCACTCCTGTCTTCCTCTGCCTCCCACAGTTTTGTCAAACTCATGCTGGTAGCTTCGAGAACACTGTCAGACCATCTCATCCTCTGTTGTCCCCTTCTCCTTGTGCCCTCCATCTTTCCCAACATCAGGGTCTTTTCCAGGGAGTCTTCTCTCCTCATGAGGTGGCCAAAGTATTGGAGCCTCAGCTTCAGGATCTGTCCAAGTTACTATATACAGACACGAACTTCATCACTTTCCAAGCACTCCAGAATACTCCTAACTAGCCAAACAGTGCCATAGGTCATGCTGCCTATATGAGAGACCTCAGCCAATCATCGAGCTGTTACTGGGTCCTCTTATCTCCAGGCAAATTTATCCCGTACTCTGTCTCCCTAGCCTGTAGTCCAAACACTAATTGCTCACTTGCCAAGGTGCATGTAGACTATGAACTCCAACACACCCAGGGACTCCGCATTGGCGTGCGCGGTGCCATGCCATGTGGCGCTCCAGTGTCCGCTGTGCCCAGGGCAGCACTGCCTGCCTGGCCTCATCAGGAAGAGGCAAAAACTGTGTGTAGTGGTCTGGCTGTCTGCATGGCCAGCAACTGCCTTCTTTCCTCCTTTCCGACATTGCAATGTATCAGGATATTGTGCAGTCTAGCTGGCACTATATTACGATGTTGGATAGCAGATATCGCCCAGACCTAGCACTTACCCAGGACTTTTGGATATGAGACACAGTGGAGACTGCGGTGCCTTTAGGATATACGCACTTTTTCCCCTCCAAAAATTAAGGGGAAATGTGTGTGTGTCTTATGGAGCAAATGCAGGCTCCATGGCTTCAGAGATAGCAACGCAAAGCCTCCAAAGTGCAGTGGAAGCGCTCCCGCTGTGCTCTGGAGGCTTCGCGTTGCTTTTGCTGAAGCCTGGAGAGCGCGAGGGGTCAGTGCGCACCAATCCCTCTTGCTCTCCTGGCTTTGCTTCGCTGGAGAGGTGCTGTTCAGCTTTCCCTCTCTGCGCAGCACCCCTTCAGTGAAGTGGGAGGAGAAATGGAAGGGGCTCTGTTTCTCCTGCCGCTTCGCTGAAGGGGCACTGCGTAGAGAGGGAGAGAATTTTTTTTTCTTGTTCCCCCCCTCTAAAACAAGGTGCGTCCTATGGTCCGGTGCGTCCTATGGAGCGAAAAATACGATATGGTTTATTTACACATACGGTATATAGAGCCTGAGATGTTGGGGTGCACAGCATTAACACCACAGAAGGGTCTTGTTTCTCCCATAGTTGCAGCCTCGATTCAAACAGAAATCAAACATTGCCCTCAAATACTGCTCTGACTCTCTCCAGCTTGCTGCTTTGCTCCTAGGGCACATTGCTCTCCCAAACTCTCTAAGCTCTGGCTTTATCTGTTGAGGGAGGGGGCCCCACCCATTTGCCCTCTTGGACTGAGCCCCTTAATCCCCCTTAATGGCTCACCATCCAGGTTATCATCTCACCCAGAGGCTAGCCTGGCTATTCCAAGAATTGGAAGCCTTGATTAAATTCTAACACTTGCTGGGTCCAGGGATTAGACGGGACTAGCACCCATTTTAACACCCCAAACTCATGGCAATACCTATGCAGTATTAACCCTATAAAAGCTGGAATGTGTGGACAGCATAAAATAATAGTGGTTCTCAAACCTTAGCAAATCAAGGTCCTCTTTGGCACAGCTATTCCGGAACATAGATTCCCCTACATACAGTAGCAAGACTGCACAACAGGTTTTAAATCACCTTTTAAAATGTGTTTACTGGGGTGGTGTTTTTATAGATACAATGTTTGCTGTGTACGTTGGGATATGTGAAGAGTTAAATTTGAAATACTAAGAATCCATTGGTGGCTAGAAGTTGGCTAATACTTCATTGCAGAATATTATTCTGGGGGAAAGTTGGGTTCTTTTTATACCGAGTTAGAAGATTGTAAAATTTCACTCCTGGTTGACCTGCTGGATATAAATTACTGGACACTCATTGGATGGGAGAAGTGGTCTGATGAGGGAGGAAAATTCTGTTCCTTTCAAATCTTGTTCATTGAAGGGTAGGCTTGCTGGAACATAAACAGACAAGTCCTATCACTGTTCACTAAGGGTATGTGACTTTCTGAGACTATGGACCAGAAGAGAACTGGAAGAGAAAACTGAAGTCTAAAGGCTGGAGTTGAGGCAGGAAAGAAGATGAGCAAGAGGTTATTGAGGCTAGAGAAAGCCTGGAAGTATAACCTGCTCCAAAAGAGCTTAAACTGAAGATTGGCAGAGAGGCCTTCAAAGGGCAGTGAGCAGTGAGCGAGATTTAAGCAAGGAGTTTCTGGAGCAGACCAGAGAAAACTGCCTGCAAGCCTGGCTCATAAGAAAACCAGTGGAAGTCTTCTGTACCTGGTAGTGGTGATAATTGGCTGGCTGGGAAAGACAGATGATAGGTAACCGGCTTATAATTGGTTAGGAAAAAGAAACTACGCTTTACACATCAGTCTTAGGTAAGTTTTTTTAAAAAACAGCTGACACTTATAATAACAATAACCTCGCAAAAGCAAGCATAAGCCCTAAAGAATCAGTAATCAATTTAAGCACAGCATTTACCTTATTCTAAAGTTATAGCTTACAATAAATAAATAAATAAATAAATAAATAAATAAATAAATAAATCATCTTGTTGCTTTTAGCAGCTGCTGGGGTGTATCCAACTGGTTTCGTAAAACGTCTCAAGAGCCACAGCTGCTGGATTTCAGTAGGACATGGGTCGGCAAACTAAGGTTCGTGGGCCGGATCAGGCCCAATTCCCTTCTGGATCCAGCCTGTGGACGGTCCAGGAATCAGCGTGCGCATGTTCTTTCCCTCTCCCTTCCTCTCCCTCACACGGTGGCGGCGGCTCCTCCCTCCCTCCTCCTGGCTTCTTCCCGCCCTGCCTAGAGGAGGAAGGGGGCTGGGCTTTGTTGGTGCCAGCAGCAGCAGCAGCACTCAAGCGGCCGCCAATTTAGGCAGTCCCTCTTCAGAGTCCTTTTGTGCGCCACTCATCATCCCATCGCCACCGCCACCCCCTGCTGCTCGCAAGACACAGGTAAGCAGCCACCGGGGCTCGTGGTGCTCTTGCATCACCCCCCCAAAAAATATAGTTCGCTCCCTCCCAAGGTCTGAGGGACAGTGGACCGGCCCCCTTCTGAAAAAGTTTGCTGACCTCTGCAGTAGGAGAAGTTGGTGGACAGCAGTGTTTAGGTGGTTTTTGAAATGCAAGACAATGGTAGGCGTTAGGGTAAAATACACACATTCAATGCCTTAGTAGTGTTAAACAGAAGCTAAAGTGGGGTAATTCTCTACAGTGGGAAATGTCGGGAAGTTACATTGTTAAAGGGTGCTGAAAGCCAAATCCTGAATGTGGAGTCAGGTGCATATGACAGGCATGGCCCTCATTTACTTGTCCAATAGTGGGAAGAACCAAACGAGCTCCAATCTGCACACCCCTTCTCTGGATTCCATTTTTGGTCACTCTAGATTGTGACAAAGAGACAGAATCTAAGCTATCAATATCTGCTATATAACTTAAAAAACGTAGCCTGGCTAAGGGGAAGTGACATTTCACAACACAATTATTTGGTAAGGTTGACTTGGTTTCTCAGTGATGGCTGATAGAAGGCGAGGTTTGTTTCTTCCATGGTAAGACTTCCAGCGCTCTCAATGTAGCTACCAGCTGAGATGTGACCTTGAAAGACTATGCTTCATTGAGCAATGATAATCAGCTGCACTTGGAGGCTCACCTGATGGACCTGAGGAATCGTGCGAGACTACTGCCCAGGCATATTAAGCTGGAACCCCTGGGCCAATGCATTTCAGTTCCTGGACCTGTCTTTTTACAACTTTCTAACTTCTTGTAACCTTGTTTCATCTGTGCTATATGGGACAGCAGCTCAGATAATCCCCTGAAAGTCACACAAACATCTCAGAATCTCCTTAGACTGCAGTTGTATACCACTTTCCTGTAAGAAAGCCTCACTGATGGCAGTTGGACTTGCTTCTGAGTAGACACATATAGGAGTTATTAATTTAAAGGCATTTATAAGCCACCTATTGTTTTTAAAAAATCTCTGAGTAGTGTACATAACAAGATAACAACACAACACAATCTAAAACCAATAAAAGTAGTTTTATGCTTAAGATAAGGGACGCGGGTGGCGCTGTGGGTTAAACCACAGAACCTAGGGCTTGCCGATCAGAAGGTTGGCGGTTCAAATCCCTGCAACAGGGTGAGCTCCTGTTGCTTGGTCCCTGCTCCTGCCAACCTAGCAGTTCAAAAGCATGTCAAAGTGCAAGTAGATAAATAGGTACCACTCCAGTGGGAAGGTAAACGGTGTTTCCGTGTGCTGCTCTGGTTCACCAGAAGCGGTTTAGTCATGCTGGCCACATGACCCAGAAGCTGTACGCCGGCTCCCTTGGCTAATAAAGCCGCAACCCCAGAGTTGTCCGCGACTGGACCTAATGGTCAAAGGTCCCTTTACCTTTACCTATTGTCAGGGGTTCAGGAGCAGAGGCACAGGAAAGGGAGGAAATAGAGAGCGAGGGGGAGGAGTCCGAAGGAAATGTTAGCGATGACAGCGGTCCGAGGTCTCTGAGTCTTTCCAGCGAATCGGAAGATTCACAGAAAGGGGCTCCCTTGGTCAGAGCAAGGGGGTGCCGAGGGGGACACCCCAGGAAGAAGGGGCCAGAGGGGACTCAGAGAGCAGCAGTTGGAAATCAGGACCAGCGTCCACACCAGAGTGCAGTAGGGGGGAGGAGTCCCAGGCATCGGGATCAGGCGGCGCACTGCCAGTGGGAGGACATGAGTCAGGATTGGCCACGCCTCCATCGGGGAGCGAGGAAACGGTCGAGAGGAAGGTTGAAGGCGCGCGCGCCCAGTTCAAATGTACAGGAGGGAGGCGCAGTTGGCAGCCCGGATAGGGAGCCAGGTCCCAAAGCCCGCCGAAAAGAGGGGGAGGAGTCAGGGGGGTCAGCGTCAGAAGAATCCAGGAAGGAAGGGACCCCGGGGGGTAGCAGGACCCAGAGGAGAAAGGAGAGACGTAAGAGGTGGAGTAAGGCTAGAATCTTAAACTGGTGTACAGGGGCGGAGACTCAGATGGAGCTTCGCCGATCTAACCCCTAGACGTAGAGCTGGGGCGCTCCGGCTTGAAAATGGAAACTGTACTTCAATAAAGACTTTTGTACATTACTGCCGGCTAGCGTTGGTCCTCTGTGAGCTGGGACCTGGAGCCAGCTCTGACAGTAAGCTCCATCTCCAAAAGTTTTGCACCAAAAACCTCGTAACGTGAGTGGACGCAGCGAGGGAAGAAGATTGGTGCTTCGCGAGCTCACAAAAGTCAGGCAAGATGACTACAGAACAGCAACTAGCAGCCCTGCAAAATGCAGTGACACAACTCAACGCGGAGGTACTCGCATCCAGGAAAAGGGAAGAGGAAGCGGCTGCCGCCTGCAGGGATCTCCAAGCCAGGTTGGAAGTGCTTGCTAAGCAGGGGCAACCGGGACCCAAATCAGAGGGGATTGGGCTGGGGAAAAGAGGAGGCAGCCTGGTATCTCATTTCGATGGGAATTTGCAGCAGTACCCTAACTTCCGAGCAGACGTGCTGTTTGCGCTGGAACTGCTGGATAAAGACTTTAGAGATGAGCAAGAGAAGGTGGGGTTTATCTTGTCCCATTTGCATGGGGAAGCTAAAGCGTGGCTGCGCAATCTGTGGAGAGATAAGGATCCGGCGCTCCAAAATGCGGATGCATTCATTAAAGCGATGGATTCGTGTTTTTATCAAATATAGACATTGATATCGCCAGAAAAGACATACATGGGCTCAAACAAGGCAGAGCCAGTGTAAGGCAGTACCATTCCCGCTTTTTGCATTAGTCCATGCGCTGGGATGGGAGAAGGATTCTGCCCCAGCCAGAGACCTTTTTGGGAAGGCTTGAATGCAAATGTGAAAGATGAGATTGCAAGGGGGGAGAGACCAAAGAGCACTCAGGAGGTTGTCCGGCGGGCGCTGCAAATTGGGGTGCGTCTGGAAGAACGTCCATGGAACAGAGAAGAAGGACGTTGGGGACGTACGCCAGTGAGAGCACCTCCCCTCTTTCCCAAGGATGCAGCGCGTGTGCAATCCCCACCTCCGCAAGGAGGGGGAGAGCAACCGATGGAGATTGGAGGCGCCAGGGCTCAGTCAGCAACCAGAGCCTTAACACCGGGAGCAGTCAAAGCGAAGCCTCCTAGAGGGAACAGGAAGTGCTACATCTGCGACAGTGCTCAGCACATGGCGAAAGAGTGTCCCCAGAGGCTCCACAAGCACACTGCAGCCTCAGCAACAGTAACAGAAGCAACTCAGCAGAGAGAACCACAGCAGGGAAACGACAGAGTCTGGTTGGAGGAAGAGGCACTGGGGCCCAACCAGACAAGTCAATGAAGCCGTCCCCAGAGATTTTGCAGCCCACAGACCCCCTCCCGCCCAAACCAGTGGTGCAGCTCACAGCATCGCTCCAACTACCCAATGGACTCACTATGGAAGTGCCGATTACCATTGACTCTGGTAGTAACGCAGACTTCATAGGACTGGATTTCCTTCAAGAGCACAACATAGCACTCCTGCCAGCCACGCTGCCTCTGAAAGTTGTCACGGTGGATGGCAGGGAATTGCTGGGGGGGCAGGTGGTGCAGCAAACGCCTCCGATGGTGATGCAAATTGGAAATCACCGAGAAGTCATCAGCTTCAATGTCACCCAACTGTCGGACACGCCTATAGTATTAGGCATGAGTTGGCTGCACAGGCACAGCCCAGCATTGGCGTGGTACCAGCGACAACTGACCTTCGGCTCCTCATACTGTGCGGAACATTGCATTCTGCCTAGCCCGGAAGGGGAAGAGGATGACCCGCAGCTACAATTAGGCACGCTGCAAGCAGTGCCACTCAAGTACGCAGCGTTTTTGGAGGTTTTCTGCGAGAAGGAAGCGGACAAGCTACCTCCCCACAGGTCTTATGACTGCAAGATTGACCTCCTGCCAGGGCGACGCTGCCAACCGGGAAACTGTATTCCATGTCTGAAGACGAGCTGCAGGAACTCAGGGAGTTCATAGACCTCAACTTGAAGCGCGGTTTCATCCAGGAGTCGAAGGCAGTGGGGGGCAGTCCTGTATTCTTTGTGAAGAAGAAGGACACGCCCCAAAAAAGGCTTGTGGTGGACTATAGAATTTTGAACTCGAAAACCAAGCCCACAGCCTTTCCCATGCCCAAGATAGATGACCTGCTCGCAACGGTGAGGAAAGGACGCGTTTTCACAAAGTTGGATCTGCGAGGGGCGTACAACCTGATTCGCATACGGGAGGGCGACGAATGGAAGACTGCCATGTTCACGCCCCTGGGCACCTATGAATACAGAGTTATGCCCTTTGGATTACAAAATGGCTCCCACTGTTTTCAAGCCTTCATGCATCACGTATTGGCGGGTCTCCTCTACAAGAAATGCGTCTGCTTCCTGGACGACATCCTGATATTTTCAGAATCAGAGGAGACCCACGAGGGAGACGTCAAGGAAGTTCTGCAGAGACTGCAGGAGCACAGGCTGTACGCCAAGCTGGAGAAGTGCCAGTTCGACATGAAGGAGGTAGATTTCCTGGGCTACAAGTTGTCGGACAAGGGGCTCGCCATGGACAGCGCCAAGGTTCGCTCAGTGTTGGACTGGAAGAGCCCGCGCAATCGGAAGGAGGTCCAGCGGTTTGTCGGTTTCGCCAACTTTTACCGCAAGTTCATCAAGGGGTTCGCGATGCAGACGGCGGCCATTACCGACACGCTCAGCTCCAAGAAGAAGAAGTTCATCTGGACGGAGCAAGCGGAGCAGTCCTTTCAGAAACTCAAGCGTCTCTTCTCGTCCGAAGAGCAGCTACTGCATGTGAATCCCAGCAGACCGATGAGGGTTGAAACGGACGCCTCAGACAGAGCCGTGGGAGCAGTACTGTTGCAGCAAGACCCGCATGGGGACTGGAGACCGTGTGCCTTCTACTCCAGGAAGCTCAGCAAGTCAGAGCAGAACTACACCATCTGGGACAGGGAGTTGCTGGCCATTCATGCAGCATTCAAGGCGTGGCGGCACTTCCTCATTGGAGCCAAACACACAGTGCAGGTCCGCACGGACCATAAAAACCTGGAGTACTGGCGCACGGCAAGGTTCCTGAACCAGAGGCACATACGATGGGCGGAGTTCTTTGCGGATTTCGACTTCAGGATAGAGTACATCCCAGGCGACAACAACATCATGGCGGATGCACTGTCCAGAAAGCCGCAATACCTCGAGGAGGCGGCACCAGCAGCGGCCAAGCACATTTTCGCACCGAAAGCGTGGGCGTGCGCTTCAGCAACCGTGGACCTGGATGCTGTACGTCGAGCACTGCAGGAGGACCCCTTCGCGCAAGCAAAGATGGCAGAGGTGCAAAGGGGCACGGCGGAGGACGACGAGTTCCAGATACGCGACGGATTGCTCATCCGCAGAGGGGCCCTCTACGTACCGGGAGACGACCTCCGCGCGAAAGTACTGCAGCAGTTGCACGACGCACCCACCGCCGGGCACTTTGGCAAAGAGAAGACGGTAGAATTAGTAGCCAGAGATTTTTGGTGGCCCAAGATGCGGGGGAAGTCGCGGATTACGTCTCGAGGTGCGACACCTGCCAAAGGGCCAAGTCAGTGCACAAACCGCCGGCGGGACTGCTCGAACCGCTGCAGACACCGCTCGAACCGTGGGAGAGGGTGGCCCTGGACTTTGTCACGGATCTACCCAGCTCGAGGGGCAAGACGGCAGTGCTAGTGGTGGTGGACATGTTCACCAAAATGGCCCACTTCATTCCGTGCGCGAAGGTGGCCACGGCGGAACAGACCGCCAAACTGTTCATAGACCACGTGTTCAGGGTTCACGGTCTGCCACGGTCTATCCTGTCCGACCGGGGGCGACAGTTCATCTCGAACTTCTGGCAGAAGCTGATGGGTTTCCTGAACGTCAAGATCAACCTAGCGTCGGCGAGACACCCGCAGACGAACGGACAAGCGGAGCGAGTCAACGCCATCATGCAGCAGTACCTGCGATGCTACGCAAATCAGCAGCCGGCAACATGGGTGGACTACCTGCCGCTCGCTGAGTTCGCCTACAACAACACGAAGCACGTGTCCACGGGGGTGACACCGTTCTTCGCCAACAACGGGAGGCATCCCAGAACCTTCCCGGGATTAGCGAGAGCGGGGGAGGGGAGCCACAGGCAGCGGAAGCCTTAGCATCAGAGTTGCAGGAGGTTCACGAACAGCTTCGGAGGCAGTTAGAACTAGCAAAGCACGCATACAAACTGCAGGCTGACAAGCACAGAAGGGTTGGGGAAGACATACAGGTGGGAGACTGGGTTTGGTTAGCAGCCCAGGCAGTGCCGGCCAGATCGTTAGCGAAGAAGAAGCTAGGGCATAAGCAGCTAGGACCCTACCAAGTCGAGGCACAGGTCAATCCAGTGGCCTTCCGGTTGACACTGCCGGAGGGATCCAGAATGCACCCAGTTTTCCATAGATCAGTGCTCACGCCCTACAAAGCACCTCATAGATTTCAGGAGCCAGGAACGGCACCAGACCCGTTCAGGGAAACGCCCACAAGGGGGGGGTCGCCAAGGCGGGAACCCGTCAACGAAGTCACAGAGATTTTAGACTCGAGATGGGGGGAAGAGGGAGTAGAATATCTTCTCGCCAGAGAAGGTACCCCGGCCAGCGCCAACAGTTGGGTGCCAGACCATGCCTTGGACGAACCTTTTCTCAAGGACGAGTTTCATGCCCTTTTCCCACACAGGCCCATGCCAGCCGAGTATTTCGACGACTGGCTTTTCACACCCACATTTTCAGCTAGCACATTCCAGGGGTTCACCTCGGACGAGGAACCGGCACTAGAAACACGTTCCCCGGAGGGATCACCCCGGGGTCTGCCTCAGACCGTTCCTATTGGTGGGACAATCAACCAGAGGAGCAGTGGCGCAGGAAGTGGTTGGGGGGTCCTTGGCAGGCAACGTCCCCGGAGGAGACCGGGGAGAGACGGACATGGACGTGTTGGGGGAGGACCTTGGGGTCGAGCACGGCGGCAAAGAGATGGAAGCAGAGGAAATTGAGGTCGGCGAGAGCACGGAGGACGAGCCGGACTTATCCGGCTGGATGCACGCCACGGGGGACGAACTGTATCCGGCACTCACCCCCACAACGACGGAGCACCCAGTACCCACACCTGAAGGAGGGGAGGGGGAAGGGGGGCTTCGAGGGGGATGGATGTCAGGGGTTCAGGAGCAGAGGCACAGGAAAGGGAGGAAATAGAGAGCGAGGGGGAGGAGTCCGAAGGAAATGTTAGCGATGACAGCGGTCCGAGGTCTCTGAGTCTTTCCAGCGAATCGGAAGATTCACAGAAAGGGGCTCCCTTGGTCAGAGCAAGGGGGTGCCGAGGGGGACACCCCAGGAAGAAGGGGCCAGAGGGGACTCAGAGAGCAGCAGTTGGAAATCAGGACCAGCGTCCACACCAGAGTGCAGTAGGGGGGAGGAGTCCCAGGCATCGGGATCAGGCGGCGCACTGCCAGTGGGAGGACATGAGTCAGGATTGGCCACGCCTCCATCGGGGAGCGAGGAAACGGTCGAGAGGAAGGTTGAAGGCTGGGCGCGCGCGCCAAGTTCAAATGTACAGGAGGGAGGCGCAGTTGGCAGCCCGGATAGGGAGCCAGGTCCCAAAGCCCGCCGAAAAGAGGGGGAGGAGTCAGGGGGGTCAGCGTCAGAAGAATCCAGGAAGGAAGGGACCCCGGGGGGTAGCAGGACCCAGAGGAGAAAGGAGAGACGTAAGAGGTGGAGTAAGGCTAGAATCTTAAACTGGTGTACAGGGGGCGGAGACTCAGATGGAGCTTCGCCGATCTAACCCCTAGACGTAGAGCTGGGGCGCTCCGGCTTGAAAATGGAAACTGTACTTCAATAAAGACTTTTGTACATTACTGCCGGCTAGCGTTGGTCCTCTGTGAGCTGGGACCTGGAGCCAGCTCTGACACCTATGCTTAAGATAATATTTTATTCTCTTGCTAATTATGCTGTTTTAAATGTGCATCTTATTATTTCCTTTAGTAATGTTTTGGAATATTAAGATTTTTTTTGTTACTTGTGTTAAATGTGTTTCCATACTTGACCTTTGTAATTTAAAAAAAAAATAGTTTCCTGTTAATTATGTACAATTTTAGTTTCCTGTTAATTATGTTGCTTTGAATGTATACAGTATATGTGGCTTTCTTCTGTAATGTTTTATTCTGGCTTGTTTTATTTGACGTTTTAATATAGGTTGGATGTGTGTGTGTGTGTGTGTGTGTGAGAGAGAGAGAGAGAGAGAGAGAGAGAGAGAGAGAGAGAGTAGTAGTAGTAGTAGTAGTAGTAATAATAATAATACCACCTAAAAGCAAATAATAATAATAATAATAATAATAATAATAATAATAATAAATTTATACCCCACCCATCTGGCTGGGTTTCCCCAGCCACTCTGGGCGGCTTCCAACAAAATATTAAAATACAATGGTCTGTTAAACATTAAAAGCTTCCCTAAACAGAGTTGCCTTCAGATGTCTTCTAAAAACTGAATAAGACAAAAAGTCAGAGGATTCCAACACATGAAACAGGGTCCACTCTTATGGGTCAGGGAAAGCCTATGCAAAAAAGATTCACAAGATGTCTGAAGCAACTGTTGGCTGCTGCTTCACATAATGCCACAAAGAAGGACATTCAGCGTTACAGGAGCATCAGCAGAAAACGCCTGTTTTGGGGTCGCCTCCCTGCAGGGGTGTCAACTTGAATATAACATTGGAAAGGAGCAAGATAGCCCTACCCTGCATAATCAATCACAAAACATGGCGCACGCACACCATTTGAATGGCAATGCTCAACAACTTTGGATGGGCCTGGCCCCCTCAAATATTTTATGGGAGGGGTGAAGGGATGCCAGCCCACAGGAGCTGTATTCTGTGGGCTCCCTGTGATTATTGTACTGTTCATCTGAGGAAGAATTGAACTCACTTTTTTGCATGTCGCTCTGGAGTTGGGTTGTTACAAATGCAAACCATGCAAACAGGAGACTGCATAAAAACATAAAGGCAGCAAATCTTGGCTCCACCAGTTTATAATTGCTTGGTTTTGTGGTGTGGACTCATTAAATATCAATTGATTGTTTAAAGGCGCATGGATGGAATATTGAACTCAGTGCGCTAATAGCTAATTGCATTTCCATTTGTCTTGCTCAGAATTCAAAAGGTAAAGGTAAAGGATCCCTGACAGTTAAGTCCAGTCGCAAATGACTCTGGGGTTGCGGTGCTCATCTCGCTTTACTGGCCGAGGGAGCTGACATTTGTCCACAGAGAGTTTTTCTGGGTCATGTGGCCAGCATGATTAAGCCGCTTCTGGCGAAACCTGAGCAGCCCACAGAAATGCTGTTTACCTTCCCGCCAAAGTGGTACCTATTTATCTACTTGCACTTTGACGTGCTTTCGAACTGCTAGGTTGGCAGGAGCTGGGACTGAGCAATGGGAGCTCACCCCATTGCAGGGATTCAAACCGCCGACCTTCTGATCGGCAAGCCCAAGGCTCAGTGGTTTAGACCACAGCGCCACCCGTGTCCCCGAATGTTCAGAATTACATACCCAATAAATATGCAATTATGTTCTTGTCAGCTGATCTTGCAGGCAGTGGGCTCCCATCTACCATAACATGTTGTTGAATAGCATGAAAATGACAAAAAGACGAGCCTTGGCTGCTTCCCGAATCTTAGAGTTAAATCCTGCAGGCTATTGTTCTCAGGTATCGGTGAAGCTTCTTTCTGCCTTTCATTCTCCACCACCACAGCTACTGCTGTGAAAAATGAGAGAAGGAAATTGACCGTGGAGTACAAAGGTGACCAGCTGTGGGACTTGCCAGCCTGGAAATCTGTATCTTGTGGGCAGGGCCCCTCAGGTGGGCAGGTGGGAGAGTCAGCAGAGCTGGTAGGGGCTGTGCCTCCACAGCTCACCTGAACTGTCCATCCATCACTTCTTGTCACATTGTATTTCACATTGCTGTCTCCCTGTGCCCAAGTGAATTGCAGCATGATGAACGCAAATATATGCAGGTCTCACAATGTGTTCTCAGGAAATGGTTTGTTAGGCAAGCATTCGCAAAACAAATCCACAATTTCCATTGATTCCTATGAGGAAATTTCTAACCACAGAATTTTGACCCCAAAATGACAAAGGAAACCTGGGAAAACAAAGGAAACCCCTCTGAAATGTTGGCAAAAGGCAAACATGAAAGGAAAAAAATGTTCTCTTATTTGTCCGATCTCTCCCCCACCGTCCCCTGCCGCCATGATTTCTGGCAAACCAGCCCCTGCAGATCAGCAAAACACAAAAAAGTCAAGCTTGTTTAAGGCTGCTTATTTGTTAACAGTATTACACACAGGTCTGACTGTTTGGATCTATGTTGCGTATAGCAAGGTTTGGGTACCAATTCCTCATGTTTGGATAAGTGAATTTCTTATAACAAGTATTTGGAGAGCAGGACCACATTTATAATTGTGGTTTTAAAATTGTTTCTATATATGCAATAGTTTTAACTGTTTTTATGTATGTAACTGTTTTATGAACCATATGAACCAACCTGGACCCTCATCACTTGAGGCCCTTCTTTGCGTGCCTTTTCCATGAGAGGTCTTGAGGGCAACAACATAACAACGGACCTTTTCTGTGGTGGCTCCCCACTTGTGGAATGCTCTCCCCAGGGAGACTATCCTGGTGTCTTTGTTCATGTCTTTAGGTACCAAGCCAAAAAAAAAAAAAAAAAGCCTCTTCTCCAAAGCCTTTTAATGTATGGCCTTTTAAACTGGGGGGGGGGGGGGGCAGGTGGTTGTTATTGGGGGGTTTTGTTACAATTTTTGTGTTTTTATATTGTAAACTACCTTGTGATCCTAGGATGAAGGGCAATATAGAAATGTAATAAATAATAATAATACATTTTATAGATGTTTTTATTATATTGCAAATTACTTCGGAATGCTTCTGGAAAGCGATTCATAAATGAAATAATATAATACACATTTAACCCAAAATAAGACCTTCAATGAACATAATAACACTTTGGAGTATTTTAACAGCTAGTATTTAATTGATTCAAGAGCCACATGAAATGTACAGAAAATGGAAACATGCCAATCCGGTCTTTAAAGATTTCAATTCACCCTCAGTATCTGTGAGTGAACTACAAACTGTCCTTGAATTTGAGCAGGGCATATGCCCCAGTGTCCAATTTAAATCAATTTAGAAATACCATTTTATTTGTGTGTGTGTGTTTTCTCACTATAGTCATGTTGAAGCTTGTACTCTGTTATTAAATGTGAACACTTATTGCGGCATTAATTGAAATCCAACATCCAGTTACTAATTGCATTTGGACGGTGTGTTCATAAGAGGCACTTAAACATCTAACTCATGGATAATTGATAACGTGAAGTGTGAGTTGCCCGTTTTCTTTAACAACGAGAACAATGAGTTCACTTCCCCTCGTTTCTTCCCATTCACCACCCCACTCCCACGAAGGAAGGCATTTTTTCCATTCTGCACAGTCCCGGTATGGGTCTTTTTAAAGGCCATTTCCACTCTGTTTCTCTGAGATACAAAAACACCACAGGAGTCTGCCGTCGCTGCGACAGCCCCATGGCTTTCTTACAGCAGACATTTGAGCGGCATGGGAGAAATGTCTAAAGGTTTGGCTACTGTACTGGGTCATTAAGCCTCTGAAGCACCTAAGGAAAACACCACCAGACTGTCAATGTCAGGTCTGAAGAAGAAGAAGAAACAAGTCTGAAATATAGGAGTGGATAAAAAGGAAAGCCTGCACAGAGATGACATTCCTGGCTAGATAAAAATACTAGCAGAATGGAGGATAAAGGTGAGATTTGAAAAGCAGCTGTCCTGGACAAAAAACCCCCACTGCTGTATTTTAACTAAAGCCCCAATGAATAATTTTGCTGCATCCCGAGGTCTTAAGAGCCCATGATGGCTACAAGCTGAGCAATGAGAAAACAACATGCACAGAAGTGGCAGGCTAAATGAGGTCTCCAGGTGCTTGTTTTATGTAAGCACAGCTCAGTGTAAATCGGGGAGGAAGGCAACACATTTCGCCCAAGTTGCTTATCAAAAAATTGCAACTTTCTGTTTGTCCTAGAGAGGATACCAGCGGAGAGAAGACGTGAGCACAAATAAGGTCACTGATGAAGCGATTCAATGTTTATTAGGTTTCTGAGATGGTTCCCGGGGAATATTTATAATAGGAATGTCTTTTTGAGAAGATAGATGTGGCTGGAACTGATAGCTGGGCTTTCTCCCTCCTTCCTGGTCCCAGATATCTTTATTAAGGCAAAGCTCTCCCACACACAGCTCTTCGTGTTCTCAATTTAACTTGTTTTCCCTATAAAAATGTATCAGCCGCAGCAATTTCCAAGAAAGACCTGGTTTTCTTAATGCCTCCTGCTTTTTGTTGTGTCATCGTGATTTACACATGGCTTTTGAACATAAATATGCATAGACACTACAGAATCGCTCCACATGGGGCAAACAGTATACTAGAAGTAAAACAAAATAAAAATGACTATAATTATGTTTTCTGCCCTGCCTCCTGTATATATTTAAAGTGCTTACTGTAAGTAATTAAAAGGCACCATGAAGCAGGCCTTGGGAGGATGTTCCAAGGTCAAATATCCAAGGGATCATGAACGCCGATAGACATGCAGAAGTACATGCATTTATTTAGCAGCTTTCTACCCTGCCTTTCAGCTATGCTTTCACTATGGGCTACAGCAAAAAGCTTTTTTGTTTTGTTTTAAAAAATGCAAATTCAAAAATGGGGGGGGGGGGGATCCCAGATGAAACATAAAACAGCCTAGCAGCAGCTTAACACAGCAAAAAGGCTGTTCAAAATTGCATTTACTGGTGTAAATTGACACCTTCAAGAAGGCAGGAGTACCTGGAGAGAGGCCTC